TCTCCGGTCTTTTCCAGATGCCGGCTACGAGTTCGACATTTGCTTCACCTCGGTACAGAAACGGGCCATCCGTACCCTCTGGACCGTGCTGGATGCCATCGATCAGATGTGGTTACCCGTTATCCGAACCTGGCGCCTGAACGAGAGGCACTACGGGGCCCTCACCGGTTTGAACAAGGCTGAGACGGCAGCAAAGCATGGCGAGGCGCAGGTGCAGATCTGGAGGAGCCACCCACCTCCCATGCAGTCCGATCACCCCTTCTACAGCACTATCAGCAAGGTAAGGCCCGTTGCTCTTCATCTGCCTGGCCAGGAAGCTCCTACATGCCATCTTAGGTCCCTGCAACGTGGTCTGGCTTCCTCCACGAGGTCTCTGCCTCTGTTGCAGGAGCTAGGACTGTCATGCATGGTGCTGGCTGGTGTTGGGCTGAGTTTGTCCTGCTCCCTCCCTGGGGAGTTGAACCCCTGGGCATCGTACAGACAGATTCAAAGCACAAGGGATGATACCTTTGTTAATTATTAGTCCTGTGACCTGTGTGTGGATGTTTGCTCTGGTTTCTTTGCCCAGAGCAAGCAATGTGTGGCTTTCCCTAGGAGGGGCTCAGAGCCCTGACCATAGCTGAGTGCAGCCTCAAACCTCAAAGGCGCTTCCTCACTTCCAAGCCTGGCTTTGCCTACCTGTAGCAGGTCCCCAGGCAGAGACTTTGGGGTGGGGGGATGAAGGCCCTGCCGCCGCCTTCCCACACTGCGTTGGGCTGCTGCGTGAGCGTGGCCGTTCCCCCAGGACCGTCGCTACGCTGACCTGACAGAGGACCAGCTGCCAACCTGCGAGAGCCTGAAAGACACCATCGCCCGGGCTCTGCCCTTCTGGAATGAGGAAATCGTCCCACAGATCAAAGAGGGAAAGCGAGTCCTTATTGCTGCCCACGGCAATAGCCTGCGTGGGATTGTCAAGCACCTGGAAGGTACGTCAGCCCTGCGGGGGTATTGCGGGGGTCTCCCCACTGCCCTGGCTGGCACTGTGCGAGCAGGGCCACGAGTGACGGTGTCTCTCTGTCTGCAGGCATGTCGGAAGAGGCCATCATGGAGCTGAACCTGCCCACCGGCATCCCTATCGTCTACGAGCTGGACAAGAACCTGAAACCCGTCAAGCCCATGCAGTTCCTGGGGGATGAGGAGACGGTACGCAAGGCCATGGAGGCCGTCGCTGCTCAGGGCAAGGTCAAAAAGTGAGGGTGGGCAGCAGGCTAGCACGTAGTAGAGCCCCCCACCGTCCCCCACCCCTCTGTGCACACCCCCCACAGCCATAGAACTTGGAGCTGCGGAGCTGGAGCAGCTCCCCAGGATTAGGCCCATTCCCTCAGGACCAGGCTCCCCTCTGCAGACAGCCTGAGGGCCCGAGGGCAAGGGGCCACACGCGTGGAGGCCAGGGGTGAAGGGCAGCCCTGGCTCTGCCAAATGGCGACCGCACGCCTCTCTGTGCCGAGATCCCAGCCCTCCGGCCTCGTCTGCAGGGGGATGCGCCGAGCAATCCCTCGCCGTGCCAGGCTCCTCCTCTGCTTTGCTTCCCCGGCAGCTCTCGTCACCTGGTTACTGTAGTTTTGTTGCTTTAGTCGTCCCGGGAGCAGTGGGGCAAGCGCAGCACAGGCAGTGACCACGATGGGTACCCCATCCCCTCGTGGGTGTGTGGCACAAGGACCGGGATGCGTGGACACTTGAAAGGGTTGTATTTTGGTGCATGTGGTACAGCACCCAAGGGTGGTACTCACAACTCTGGACCTAGCTCTGCCAGCCCCTGCTTTAACTTATTGCCTTTGGACAAGGGCGAGGGAGGGAGCGGGTCATCTGGAGGTTCATGTCCACCACATACTTCCCCCAGCCGAAGCCCATCCTGGTCCTGCTGGTGAAGCAGGTGCTGTTGTGCCCCATCCCACGTGCGTGTACCCGGCCCTGTCGCTGTGGCCTCCCCCTCTGCCGGCGCCGTGAGCCTGGGCTTGCACGGGGTCAGTGTAACTGTCCGACAATAGCAGCTGTCTTGTTCCAGTTCAATAAAAAGTAATGCGCAATAATGAGGTGTCGGTGCCTTCCTCTGCCACATGCTCAGGGCATGTGGGGCTCCTTGTGCCACCCCGCACCTCCCTCGGCTCCATGGGCGGGAGCCGTGCGCAGATGGGGGTGCAGGAGGTGCACTGGGCTCGGGGAGCCAAGCACAGCGCCGCAATCCCTGCGCCCGGTGCTTTGCGGGCTCTGGGTGCGGCACGCCCTCGTCCCCAAAGGCAGGCAGGGCACATGTGGCCGGAGGAGATGCGGCACCCCAGGGCTGAGCGCAGCCACAGCCTGCACCTGTTATCAGCGCGGGGGCAGGGAGACAAGCTCTTCTCTGTGCTTGACACTGATGTGGGGAAACCACAAGGGCGAGCCGCGCGGGGGGGCGGGCCCCCCCCAGCCACAAAGCAGAGCTCTGCTGTTCGCCTCGCTGAGGCAAAGCCGCGGGGTTGTTCCCCTTCCCTGGCAGCGGGCCGGGAACACGTGTTTCCTCCCAGCCGCAGGGCAGGGGAAGCTGTCCCCTGAACAGCCCCGCTGCGGGAGCCACCCCAGCCACACCTCTGGCCCTAACTGAGCAGAGCACAAAGCTCTTGAAAAATATTTATTATCCAAAAAAATAGAAAATCCATCCTGCCAGGGAGGGCCTGGCTGGCCCTTGCAGCCTCTTACACGCGAGGAGGATGCTGGAGCCCAGGGGCTGCTCTGGCCCCACAGCCCCCGGCCTGGCAGCCCCTCGCCCTGCAGG